GGGGGAAAACACTTTTTCACACAACTGTATGCATTTTTACACACACTGCAAACATCTGTACGTTTTCCATTAAGCCTCATTGTTTGTCTGAAAAAGCAGACCCAAGGGATTTCCCCTTGTGCCGAGTATTAGCACTAAGTATCAGAATACATGTGCGTGAGCAGCTCACAAGCACTGGGGCCTCATTTAGAAATATTTCATTATGATTTAATCCCGAAGGATGCCGACAATGAAACCCCGCTTAGTTATCATTCATGGCAAACGACGGAAACGGCTGATTGACTCGGCATAACAGGCTTAACACTTTGCCAAAGCATATTAACCATTCTCTCAATGCAGTTGAGCAGTTAGGAAGTGTTACTTTTGCACTGGTTAAAAAAAAAAGAAGTAAGAAGATGAAGACCCCCATCTAAATATATTTAATAATGTTTACTTGAAGAGAAAGTAAATCTTTGTGTAAGGAGGTTTGTGATTGCGTACCCAGCATGGAGGAATAGAGACAGCCAGAGACGGTAGAACTGATCCGGAACATCAGGGTTGAGGAACGGCAACAAGCCGCACACATCATCCAGACAGTGGATCTGTGCAAGAGCGGTGCATGGTTTCAGAAATGTACGAACACACTGACACACGTAACACATGTACACACACACACACACACACACACACACACACAATACCTGTGAGCAGAGTGTGGCCTCCTCGTGGAAGTAACCATGCATGAAAGAGCAATACTCTCTGGTCGTGATCTCACATCTACAGGAGGGACAAGCAAAATCCAATTCAAATCTTGTCCAGATGACCTGGCAATGTAGCCGATTAAGAAGTGGAAGCGTAGATCAAGTTGATATCTGCATGCCTTGAAGTCAGTACACAGCACACATGTCTCACCTGCCCTTAGTTCCTATGCAGCACGGCCGTCCCTTGATGTTACAGTCCATGTGTCTGTAGCCTGTGTGGTTCGACTTCTTGGGAAAGGTACACACCTGGAAAAGGAGAAGCAATGAGCCGTTACACAGACCTGCCGGACAATAATCGTTGCCTTTATTTTCTTTCCCGTTGTAGATCTTGGACAGAGAGAGTAGCATAGAGAAAAATACTTTGTTTAAAGTTACTACGAGGAACTTTCATGTTGTTATGATTTTGGCACCCCTGTGGACAAAAGTGGTAGTGTTTCTGTGAGCCTGTGTAAAGATCTGCAGGTGCTAGCAGCGTCTGACAGTCTTCCCCGCCAAGATCTGGTTCTGGTTCTCCCGTGCCTCCCTTCCCTCCAGCGGGGCCAGCAGTACAGCCTGGGCCTCCAGCAGCGTGATGTCGCTGTTGGCTGCCAGGAGCTCCAGGTCCTGCAGCCGCAGACAGTCCCTGCTGCATCTTCCCTCCGTCCACTGGCACGCGCAGTGGAACTTTCTACAGAAGATGATCCTCCCGACATCAGACGAAGCCATTCACACCACTCACGTTCACCAAAAAGTCCTTCAGCTCAGGCTGTCGCCTTTTACCTGCAGTCGGAAGTTCCGGCAGTGGGGCGGAGAGCTCCGCACAGGTCAGCAGCTGCCATGCACGGAGCTCTCCGCTTCCCGCCTGGAGTTGCCGACTCAACCGATGTCTCTTGGATACGATAGTACAGTAAATAGGCAGAAAAGGCCAATCTTCTCCCTGTTGGTGTTGTGTACTTATGTAGGACATACAGAGACATCAGTATTACATTGAGACTGTTTCATAACCAGTGAAAAGTTCCTCGTAGTAACATTTAATGAAGAATGCTAGTGTAGAAAATGCATTCCCAAATTAGAAGCAGTGTCCCCTTACCGGCCACTGGGTGATGTCATCCGGCCATATATGAGGCTCTGCAGAGGCGGGCTCTTCACACACTCTGGTCACAACATGCAACACACGAGGACCAACGAAGTTTTGAAATGATGAGCAAATGTGGGCACATAATTCACTTACAAAATCGAAAGTGACAACTTGCTAGATATTTCTTGGCGATCTACACAATGATCACATGCACAGTCTCACCTGGGATCCTGGTGGCAGACAGAACCAGAGGACCGGTTGATGTCCACAGGCTTATTCTTCCATTTAATAAAGGTGGCCAGCGTCTCCTGCATTCACAGTTATTTTTGCATTCAATTTTAGTATTTAATTCATAGAATAACGAGGGAATACAATAATAAACAAATTAGTAACCAGTGTGCATCTTTAACACTCACAACAAGTATAGAAATATCAGTCAACAGTTTCAATCTTAAGAATGTTAATCTACCTAACAAGATATCTTTGCATTTGTTATATTTATATTTGTTACATTTATATCTTGTTGCACTTACTTTTCCTTGACAAATGTAATTGTAATGGCAAGAACCGTGCTTAAGTACGCGGGACAACTGTGATTATACGTTTACAGATTATAATCTCACGTGCAAGTGTGTGTGTAGGAATGTGTGTTGTTTATAGTTTGTGGCTTTAGGTGTGTGTAACTTAAGCAGCTTGAATCGCCTAATGAAGTTTTCAATTGCAATTTCTGGTGCATATTCATTGAAGTGTCTTTGCTTGACTTCTCTCTCAAATTGAAGCAAGGTTTCTTAAAATGACAAGCTAATAAACAAAGTGTGACGGTGCAGGATAAACCGCTTACGGAGCAGTCGAAGCGGAGCGTTTGCACGCATCCGGAGTTGTCATTCTGAACGCAGCAGCCGGACTCTCTCTCCAGGTCTTTGGCCCTCCGGATCAGACCGACTATCTGTGTGTCCTTACGGATGCACGGCGAGAACTTGGCCCCCAGGTGGATCAGGTCGTCCTGAAGAGTGGACGAAAATGAATCGTAAAGATACACAAACCTGGCAACCACACACATAGTGAAGTGATCTACAGAGAAGAAAAACTCAAAATCTATCCCTCATATGCGTTATTTGTGGATGTAGATTACGTTTCTCTGACTTTCAACAAGTTGTTTGATATATGCGTGTTAAAAATACTGACTGTCAAGTGTGAATCTGACATTTTTGTGGAAGTTACTTGCTACAGAGTCACTGAGGCTAGAGCTTGGTGAGAGCAACAGTATGCGACAGGAAATGCAGTAAGTGATAAAGTCACAAACTAATGAGGGTGTAACCCTGCTGCAACAGGCGAGGCCAAAGGTGTCTGGTGTCACGCAAAGAGACGCCAGGGAACAGTTCACAGAAGTCTTTTAAACCAAGACAAACATCTATTGTGAGTGTCCATCTAGGTTGATAGTGAAAAACATACAGTAGTGTAACACGGCTAGTGACTCACAGAGCTAGGACCAACCCAGAAGTTCTCCTGTTGGATATGCTTGACACTCTCATAAATACCTTTGTTCTTCAGCACCTACAGAGGGCGACAGAGGGACACAGTTTTCAAATGATCTGCTAAGTGTATAATATGCAAGTACCACAACATTTAAAGTCATGTTCATTTATGATTTCTGAGAAAGGCATAATTAATACAATATATATACATTCTGTCTCAAATGCATCTTTTTGCTGATGAATTCTGTTTGCTTGAAAAAATAAATGTTGCTTTCAATTTCTCATGCTTCAGGCCATGTTATTGATTGAGCAGATTATATAAGTGCATCCAGATAGATTCCTACACAAAAAACAAAAACCTGACACTTGGGCACTACAGATAGCAGGATGTTTATGTCCTCTTGGTAGTAAAATGCAACCGATCATGTAAAAAAAAAATCAAATTCAGTCAGTATGTTTTGAGTTTACTCACCAGTTCAGACGTAGAATGTTGTGCAAACCCCACAGGGGCAAAACCGTATGTGCAACAGGCCAGCAAAGTGATTACTATATGGACAAACGTGATCCAGTAGGCAAAGTAGGGCCTAAAATACACAGCAGAGAACCACTGTAAAATCATGACTAGCCAACACGTCAAACGTCACAATACAGGGGAGGAAAAAATATCTTCATTCAAATCTCCTTAAAATTCCTTACTACTTGTATATAAGTCACATCTCTCCAGAGGTTTAATGTCACTTTTTACTGTTAAAACCGACCCAAACATCCCACTGGTTAATTTTCTCTTGCTGTCTGAGGTCTACAAGTCAATTGTTCAATATAAGTTTGTGAAGAATACACTAATATGTCCGTACACGGAAGCATCTACTCATTCCTGACCTGTGGCTGTGGAAGTCGTCCAGCTGCTTCTGGACGTTGCTGCTGAGGCTGCGTCTGTAGTGCCGGTTCAGCCACTTCCCCACAACGCCCATGCCGTACTGACGCTTGCGTTTGTCAAATGCAAAGTGCTTAACTTGAGAGGCGATGCGACGACCCCGACGAGGATAGCTCTTTTCAGCTCCTGCTGTTGGTGTCCTGGGCGTTCGAGATATGTCCTTACTGTGATTGGGGGGGGAAAAAAGCATTAAAAGGAATAGAAAAAGGGTGAGAGAGTGGGCGAGGCAAGAGTGGTGGAGGAAGCGGAAAGGTGGAGTTAAGACAGACAAAGAAGAAGAACAACAAAGGTGTACAAATTAGACGGTTGCATGGAAATGCGATGAATAAATAAAAGAAAATGAAGAGATCCTATTTAATGATGGAATGTGTGTAGAAAAATAAGGATTATTGAATATTCTTGCTCTCTGGACTATATGAGCGTCAGTTCGGTGACTTTCTAAAGTGATTTCAATATTTTTGGTTGTGTCTTTACTCACATGCTTGGGAACTTCTGGTCATGCTGCTCGCTGGGAGCGAAAGCTGCAGACATGGGAGGCGATTCAAATACGTCATCGGCCATAGAGTACAATTCATCATGGGCATCAACCTACGCAGGAGAGGTAATGGAGGTCACAGAGGAGGAAGAGGAAATACGGTAATTATTAGCGGCCGGGCCTCATATGAGTTTAGACAATAGGATCCTGTTGCTGTTGCAGCAGACATCAAGGTGGGTCTAAATACAAGACAGCTGAGATAATATATGATCGATGTATATATATACATCAAACATCAAACCATATTGAATAAGTTTGACATATAGATGGTCATAGAATGCTTGACAAATACAGTACATACTTATGAGATATGGCGGTATGGAAGGAAGGAAAGGATGATATAGGGAAGATAGTGGTTGCTGAAGAAAAGAGCCTGATGAGAGACTAGCAGTGAAAGTGGAAGTGTGACTGCTGACGTACGCAGGGAGGGAAAGGAAGTAAGATGTAGAAATGAAAATAAATAAAAGCCAAAGAAAGTTGCAGCAAAGAGTTGACATTGCTGCCAAGGCACTGACGGGAGGATAGAGAGAGTGACAGCTGACCTTGCTGAAGAAGAGCGACTTGGACGTGTCTGCGGAGTCCACGGTGTCCTCGTCCATCCAGCTAGGCCTGATAAAGCTCCTCTTGTGGAAACTGCGACCCGTCTGGGACCCCGCCAAGCCGCTACGACCCTGAACAACAAAAGTAGAGCGTGATACGTTATTTCACACATTCATAATGTTTCTAAGATCAGTTCTGCTCTACTTAGAAATACGATAACAATTATTAAAACATTGAAGGTGAAGTTGTGGCTGTAGAATAAGTAAAACAACTGTCCCCTCCCTTTCTAGAACACACACACACACACACACACACACACACACACACACACACACACAGGTACCAGACCCACCCTCAGCAGGTTGGATGCAGCTCGGATGCTCATGCGGGCGACAGACTCCCTCTTACGCTTGGGGAAGCGGCTGAACCCGGAGCGCTGGCTGGTGAAGGAGCTGAGTGAGGTGACACCCGGGGTGAACGGCCCCCCCTCAGTGGTGTGTGGCGTCCTGGGGGAGCGACTGTCCATATCATCTGGGCAACGGAAGGCTCTCCCCCGTGCCAGGGGATCCACAATCTACCAAAAACAGAGAGTAGTTTCTGACATAAACATTCAAATAAACTTAGCAAAAAACCTACTAGACGTCTGCGTTTGACACTTTGAGTTTTCTGTGTGTAAATGTGTCAAGTAAGAGAAAAAAAAAAAAATGAGTCGAGCCGTCTGACACAGACTGAAGGGAGTGACATCAGTCATCTGGAGCACAGATGGTCCACGTCTGTCACCGCGCAGCACTCTTTATTAAAGCCAGACACATTTCTCTCTCTCTCTTCACAATCCCCTTCTCTCACCATCTCCTGTCCTCACAGACTCTTACTGTCGTCATACAGGTGCGACAATTATTACTACTATAAGTTATTACTCGTTTGCTTGTTGTGAAATTGAGCGGAGAGTGGAAAAGACATCCTGACTCAAAGCCCGCTGTGTCTAATCCTGTTTCTTTTTAAAACAAAACCTCAGGATGTGAATTACCGGCAGGATTAGAGTGTGAAGGCACACAGGGATCATATGTCTCTGTGTCGGTAGAATACCTTGGGCATCTTGTGTGCTGCTGGTGAGTCCAGGCCCTGGTCGATGCTGGTGGCCACCTCAGGCTCTCTATACTGGGCCTTCAGCTTGCCGTAGCGCTGGCTGCAGTGGCGCAGGCTCTTCTTGTGCCATACCTGCTGCTTGGTCTCACAGTCCTCCCCCACCCCGAACCACTGTGCTGTATTCCTACAGGTAGAGAAAGAAGAGGGTGGCCTCAGTATCACAGAGTACAATTGAAAAGCATCTGTTCCTGGTTCACTCAACCACGGGACTTTTGGGATATGTTGCCGATGAATGCTGACAAAATAATTGTCTGCTGTTTTCATCTTGCCTGCGGATGCTTTGCGAGAGCGACGCTTGTCTTCCGAACTTTGCCCTCCGGTCTCTGAATGAGAAGCCTCCATCTCCTGCTCCACCGATGCTCTCGGACACAGAACTGGTTGCTTGACCGCTAGTGCTTTTCTTCAGGGACGGCCGTAGTGGCTGACCAGAGGAAATGAGAAACGCTGTTACAGTACAGTAGTACAGTCATTGTTGTTACGGTATGACACATAAATAGTGCCTACATACAGTGGAAAATGGAGATATTAATTAGTGTCACAATTACAATTGTAGGCATATCCCAATAACCTACATAATGCAGCAGCAGCATGGATAATCAATTAAGTCCACAGTGCTTTACTGGCCAATTAGCAGAATAAAACACAATTAATTATTGCAAGGCTGCAGGGAGCACCTCAGATGAAATTATTTTTAAATCATAAGTTTGTTAAGAAAGTAATTAGATGTTTATTGTAATGACTGCAATAATCAGGGTTAGTGGCAAGACTAAATCCCGGTAATGACATATTTGGATTAAGTGCACATTTAATGTGGACATGGTCAATATTTTGTATAGTGTTCTTCACTCATGTTGGGTGCAGTGAGAGTCCATTATCCTAACCTGCAGTGACTCTGCAGCTGCTGAGGCTAATGGTGTTGTCATCCTGAGAGTTAATGGGGCTCCAGGCAAGCTGTAAGGGGGGGCCGTATGTTCGGATAGAGGCTCAGCTTGTTGAGCCTCTAGCTTGGATTAACATTAGATATTAACATCAGTTAATCATAAGTAAATGGTAAACTGACTTTAACATTACAC